TCTAGAGACTTGAATGTATCTTGTGAAAAACTTGCATATTACAAGGGGTCTTCTAGTATCCTTTTTTGTTTCAGAATTATTCCAATTCATTCTCTAAGGATGGGAAATATTTGTAGCCAGTTTTCAGTACGGCGATATATTGGCATATATAGAATAGGTTAAGTAAAGAAATGATACATAACAGTATTATTAATATGACATTTTAATTGCTACATCAGACATATTTTCAAGCTCTAAGTGCTAGGAACTGATAAAAAGAAGTAGTTCATATTAAGAAACGCCTGAATGATCGAAGCCATTTAGAGACCTTTATTGTACCATGCTATCAAAATGTCCAACTGACTTTTTCTACATGGTAAATTTCTCCAAGAAAGATTTTATACAAGCTATTTTAATAGCACTGATTTTTTTTTCCCCGCTCGTAGGTTTTGGATTAGATAATGGTCAGAGCAAGAGAAATGCCAAATCCTTATGCATACTGTGAAGATGACCAGGGGCATTATATATATACTAAGTCTCTGCAACCTCGTTTACATTTTTAGACAGGCAGATATTCCTGAATGCATCATTTGCCATTCTTTTACACTTTCAGTCCGTAATATCCTGTAAGTGGCAGCCCTCCATGAATTCTCACTCAGTAGCAGAAGGCAGCATATTGACATTACCTCAGCCCAATGGCTGAGGTAGGCTGGAACGCTCCTTGGCATAAATAACACACGGACTGCGAGGCGATGCGCGTTCCTATGCTACCTGTGCTTTGAAGAGCTCATCATCCTTGTAGCAATAGTTCAACAGTCCACTCTCAATCCACGTTCACCCAAAGGCCGTATTGTGGCTGCACCTACGCAGGCACTTGAAACCTAATATTCAGGAGCACTGAGATGCAGCGACTCTCTGGCACGTTGAGGGAAATTGTAGGGGCCGGCGCCTTGGAAATATCAGTGCCGGAGGGGATCAAAGGCATTAGTTTATGCAGAGTAGGACAAGTTCTGCCCTAGCTTTTGCCTAGGGAAATACAAAGAGCAGTTGGACACCTGCTCCTTGAAAAGACAAAAATCTGTGGAGGGGTGTAGGGCGGGAGGCAGGATCCCTAGACACTGGCCCACAGCAGCCCAGTCATCCCAAAACCTCTCTGAGCGGATTCATTCTCTCTTCCACACAGGCTCTGCAAATCACTGGGGGAAATTCTCTGCAACTGCAGTACAGTCAGATATTAATAAAGTCTTTCTCCACTTTTACAACATATTTATACGTAAGTGTGATTTAGAGTTCTGTGTCAAGTCATCACCAGGGCTGCATTCCAGCGACCTGCAGAAAACACAGGGTGTTTCTGCACTTCAGGATAATGTTGATTTAGGGGCTGGTACAATAGCACATGGGCTATTTTATTTAGTTTCTTGGCATTCGTATTCAAAAATTGCCCTATAAAGAAGGGAGAAGGCATTAAAAAAAGTTTAAATGCTCTTAAATCACAAAGAAACATTGTGTTTCGAGTGAACTGAAACATTTGGATAGACTCAAAATTGCTTTTTTCATGGAGAAATATTTTGTTGATGTGTTAAATTTAAAATGAAAATCTCTGACTGTGACTCTTTTTCATTTTTTGGTACTTTGCTTAGGTTATCAAAATAAAATAGGTATTACTCTTCCAGCTATTTGAAAACAGGCTGGTGTGTGATTTGATCTGGTGCCTTTTAAATGTGGTAAGAGTGGGCTCAAGATTCCCTGCACTGGGCACCTTTAAGTGGGGGTTTAGTTCAGCTTCCTAGTTGCTAAAAATCAGGAGCATTGCAGAGTTCTTTGGTTTACTTTTTCCATTGTCTTAATTTCAACTTCTGGTTTTAGGGGATTTATACTGTTCCTATTTTCAAACTTTTTCCTGCAACCATGAGTGACAAAACTATTTTTTTTTGACCCTTTTTTTTTCATTTAATGAAAGCTGCCAGTCATCTGAACTCTTTCTATTTCAGCATCAGGTGCTTTAATAACATTTTCACGTAAAAAGGAGAGCTGGACTTTCACTGCTTTGGGCAGCTCAGACATCAGTTCATCCTAGTGAAACACCAAAAAGAACTGGGGAGCTGAAGAGAAGAAAAGGAACCTGCACAAGTTAAGAGGGCTACACTGATTTAGGGAGGATGGGGGAGCTATCATGAGATGTATATTTAAAGGTATTCTCCTTAAGACTGCTTAGAAGTTCTGCTCCCAAAGCAGAATAGTCACTTGGCAATCCATTTGTGCTCCAGCTCTAAGGGATTTCAGCAAGGGAGAAGCTTTACTCATGTTAGTGGTCTTCCTAGGTTGTCCCTTACTTTAAAAAGGGCTTCTCCCATGGGAATGACAAAACAGGACTAATGTAGAAGTTACAAGGTTAAACACTGGAGACATAAAGAGCTTGATTTTGAAAAGTATCTTCTACAGTGAGAAAAGTACCTTGCAAAGAAAATCAGTAATGCATACAGAAATGAAAACAAATCTGAAGAAATGATTCAGTGTTTAGTTTCACTGCAAAGAAAAATGTTTTCACTTCATTAGGGTATTATCAAGATTTTTAATACCATATCCACTTCTTTCTAAACTGTTCTCTTCTTTTGAAAGCTATGTTAAACCTCTTCCTAATAACTCCTGTGATTAGCATCTTTGTAGAAATCCCAGAGGACAGACTTCTAAAAGTGGCATTATATTTCTAGAGCCTCCCTGTAATCAAGCATCTATCAGGCCTTCCATTCAGTTGTGTATAACTGCTCTGCAGAAAATCTCGCTTTGCTTGAATAAAAAGAGATGTTTTGTTTAAAATTAGCAGAAGGATTGCATTTATGTTATGAAATATAAGAATTTTAGATTCAGTTTAACTGAAAAAAAAGAAGGTACCCATTGCTTAATGGACACAAGAAGGTCTGCAAGTGAGCTGCCATGGCAGAGGGCAGATCCTGCTGGAGACCTGCTGGGAAGGGATGCTGCAAAAAGCTCTGTCAGAGCTCCACCAAATAGTTGTCAGCTCGGTGAAACATGTTGTTGAATTCATGTTGTTTGAATTTGTTCAAAAAACGGGTAGACATGGCACTTTGGGGCATGGTTTCATGGGCATGGTGGTGTTGGGTTGACGGTTGGACTGATGATCTTAGAGACCCTTTCCAACTTTAGTGATTCCTAGTTTTACTTTCATTAAAAAATTAATCCACCCACCAAGCCAGGAAACATGAAATTAATTATTAGTCTCTCCTTCATTGGTGTACTGGGGGACTTGGAAGTGTTAGGCTAATGGTTGGACTGGATGATCTTAAAGGTCTTTTCCAATCTAAATGATTCTGTGATTCTATGATTCAGTATGGGGATATTAAGCATCACCAGGTGTAAATATTTGCTTATCCACAGTAAAGAAAAAAACCCAAGTTTCTATACTCACTTCTTTAGTGAGACTGCGGCTGCAGAGCCCTGAGAACATGAAACACACACTCTTTGGGCTTTGATACTGTCAACACAGGATGCAAATATTTAATGGTAAGCACAACGCCAAGTGAAACGTCTTGTCCTAGGTACTTAATATCCTTTTCATCCTCTGGAGGCCTTCGATCAAAATTGGATGTCATTCTGTAACATGTGCTTTTGCAATGTTTTTATCATTTATGATTTTATTTTACGTCAGTGTGTGCGGAGTTTTCCCTGGAAGTCCAGTACGTGGGCTCTATGAGTAATCTCAGGTACCAAAGTTTTGGTTGCTTCCTATTTACATTTTAGACACTCTTGCTGCCAATTTGGCCTCCCATACCCGTGGATAAGAAGCATATTCAATACGCTGTTTGAAGGATTATCATGCACAGATGAACCTCTATCCTTTTGCTCATTCATGTGCTTCCACAACACCATCCCCATTTGAACCTTTTTCTTTTAAAAAAAAATATCGGGGGCTATTTGATTCACTTGATTCAACTCGTAAATGATTACAAAGATGACACAACACGTATCTGACTGTCGTGAAAAGAGAATATACTTCCGAGTAAAGTGGGAAGGAAGAAAAGGTCCCCCAACAATGATATGGGACAAAAAAATCCCTTTTATCGGATGTTGTTAGAGTTGACATGAATGTGACTTTGCATTTTGAGCTGTACCTACTGACTTGAAAGCCATGCTGACTCGGGTGTTTAATTTGTCATTCTAATAACTCAACAGATTGAAGGGCTTAATTAGATGCTTATATTTATATTTCAAGATGATAAAAATCAATGTTCGTCTTGTTTACCTTCATACCCAGCCCAAAGATGAATCTATGTTTCCAAGCTACAGCAAAGAATAACAATATCAGGTGAGAGCAACTGAACCTGCTTGAAGACAGATATATTTCAATCTCCCTTCAAAAAAGGTATTCAGCACCTCTGCTAGTTTTGTTGATCAGAATAGGCTTTGCATGAAAAAGTCCTTTAAAATGTATTTGAGAACAGGTAAGGTGTCTCATATTAAAAAAGGCACTGTCTCACTCAGATCTGGTTCAAGGCTTGCTGATGCCATTGAAAGTCTTTCTATTGAATTCAATGGGCTTTGAGTTGGTACATATGATTCCTTTTATTTAAGCTTCCCTTTTCTGAAGAAAATAGTACAGTACACTTCATACAATGCATTATATGACACCCCCTGTAATACAAACAAGTGCAAAAAGTAAACAAATAGCTTTTATTTAATTGAAAGGTCTTTTTTTTTTTTTTTTTTTACAGGTTACATTGAAGAATGTGAGATAAATAATACCCACATCACAAGCAACGGCAAGTCTCCTCTTCTCTCAGTTATAACAGCTCGGCACAGCTCTTTCATGTTTGACATACCATTACACTGGAGTTTCAATAAGAACTACTGCTTGTAAAAAAATTGAGACCACTTTCCTCACAATCTCAAGTTATGTTTGGCACCACTCCATTTAATTAATGCATATACATTTATCCATTAATTTCAAAGCTTATTTTTAAAAATTAATGTAATATTGAGACTTAATGTTTTCTTAATAATACACCACTTCTATCTCCCTCCCCCATCCCCACTAGTTTTCTTTATCAGGAATGTTGGTCGTGGTGAAGTATTAAGATAAAATCTACGCGTGGTTAATTTTTAAAAGTCCATGGCTGAGCATTGCTTTAATCATCAAGGAAAAGGGTGTATAAGAACAGAACTCAATAGCAGGATCCCAGATGTCAAAATACGGTTTGCCCTTTGGGGCAATTTTATTCCTCCAGAGCTTAAACCTGTAAAAATATAAGCATACAAAATTTTCTGACAAAAGTAAACTGGTGTCAAAAAATATTTTTTCTATGCATTCTAGCATCACAGTAGTCTTCGTTCTGTTTTCAAAATGAAACATTATCCACCCATGTTATTTCTATTTATTTAGTTTTTAAGTTGTAGCCGCAGTCCCGTGGAGTATGGTTTCGAATCAGCTTCCCACCCTCCCTGTGCGTACCTACTTTCAGGAGGGTTTTGGCTAGTTTGTTGCAAAACTGTGCTCCTTTTTGCATGTGTAATAAGGTATTGAAGAGGGCAGAGACCGGACCCTGGGCACCCCCAGCCCAGCCATGGGGCAGGGCTGAGGTTCTCTGTCTCAGCAGCAGCTCCAGACCAGACTGAGAGCCACGTTCCACGTTCCGTGAGAGGCTGCAGCTTTGACTTTAGTAAGAAAGCTTATTTCTCTGTCCTTCCCTGAGCATTACAGCCCAGGGCAGATGGAGACCTACGCTAAAAAGAAGGTCACATCTAGGTGGTGTGCAAAATGCTTTCTCCGCTGATGAATGCGAGAGTCCCGGCGACTAATCTGCATGGACCCAGCGTTAGAAAGCAACGGCAGGGAGGCCAGCTACGGTAGTGGAAAGTCTGTTAATCTATTGTACTTCTTAGAGGCACACAGATTTCTTGTTACGCAATAACATTCGGAGGAAAAAAAAGTATCCCACATACTTGATATTTTTGGAATCCTAATTTCCTCACTGCTGCTGCCATCCCCGCCGTCACTGACTGTTCTTATTTCTATGAGATAATCTTCTTCAAATGGTACCAGCAGTTCAGCTGAAGTGTTGTTTGTCTCCAGTATATGTGTTTTGCTATGTCTGTTTTGTCTATACAAAATCTAAGTAAAAAGGGATTAGAAAACAAGAGTTATTTAATTTTTTTTTACATTTTAATGGATTTTTTGGGGGGTGAGAATATCTTCTATCATGGCCCAAACTTTTCAGAGCGCTATCGGCATCCTGCAGAGTATTAAACTTAATTCAAAATGTAGAAATACGTTCTGCAGAATTTTGTGATGGAGACCACAGAGGGCATTTGCTCCACCTGTGTTTTGCAGGAGAGCTTTTGTCCGCTAGAACAGAAAGTAGCTATGAAATCGTTATCCAATACACTTATGCTCTTCTGTAAATATGGAAGTTAGTGTCCTGGTTTTGGCTGGGATAGAGTTCATTTTCTTCCTAGTAGCAGGCACAGTGCTGTGGTTTGGATTTAGTAGGAGAAGAATGCTGATAACACGCTGATGGTTTAGTTGTTGCTCAGCACTGCTTATGCCAGGCAAGGACTTTTCAGCTTCCCATGCTCTGCCAGGGGCACAAGGAGCTGGGAGGGGGCACAGCCAGAAGAGTTGATCCCAACTGCCCCAAGGGCCATTCCATACCATACAGCATCATGGGCAGTATAGAAACTGGGGGGGTTGGCCGGGGAGCAGCGATCGCTGCTGGGGAACTGGCTGGGCATCGGTCGGTGGGTGGTGAGCAATTGCATTGGGCATCGCTTGCTTTGTGTATTATTATTGTTATTATCATTATTTTGTTACTCTTATCATTACTATTGTACTTTATTTCAGTTATTAAACTGTTCTTATCTCAGCCCAGGAGTGTTTCTCCCTCTCACTCCTCCGATTTTCCCCCCATCCCATCGGGGCAGGGGCAGTGAGCGATGGCTGCGTGGTGCTGAGCTGCTGCCTGGGGCTACACCACGACAGTTAGACACACCTTTAAACAAGACTTCAGCCGGTAACACCTTTTATATCCAGAACTGATGTGACACTTCAGGAACTGAAGTTTTAAGTTTGGGTTTTTTTTTAATTTCACCTGTTTGTGGTGAGCATTTATAGTCAAATAGAAATATTCATGTTGACTTTCATGTAAAATTACCACTTGCTAAAGAAAACACGAGACATTGCATAGCGGTATGTTTTTAAAGAAAGGACAGAAATTTGGATAGTAGCATCTAGGTTTCCACTTAGGAAGCACATTTCTACAACTAAACATGATGGATCCAGTGCCTGCTTGCACTTAGGTCTTTTTGTTAATGAATCATTGCCCAAGGTGCAGAGCAGCTTGGGGAGTCCGGACAGGGATCCTACAGACTATGATCAGCTTTTTTCCTCCAAAAAGCTTTTCTTCCTTGCTAGCACAGCAATGACAGTGTTTGACTCCTTTCTCTTGACAATCTTTTGACATATTTATGCTAAAAAGAGCAACTGAAGAGCAAAGCAGAAGGAGGAACAGGGATCATACAATAAATACTGCAGCAAGTACTTAAAGCTCTCTTTCCACATAAAAATGTAATAAGCAAGTGTAGCCCAGCAGCAGGTAGGTTAGATGCAAAGGAAAAAAGCCTAATAGTCTAGCTTTAACTTCTTCCGCAGTGTGCGTCAAACACACTCACTAGGGTCGAAAAGAATATGATCTCAAGAGAGATTGCAAGGTGGGGGTTTTTTGGTGTCCTTTTCCTCCCTAGGCATAAATAACTCTGTGTAGACACTAAAATGCCTAGCGACATGAGGATCTGGATTGTGAGAAACTTTCCTCATGCAAGCGCTCCCCACCTCCATTTTTACAATCCGTCAGGAGTAAAAAAGTCTTTCCATAAGTTTTTTGGGGTCAGAGCCACTGCAAACCAACTTTAAACTAAATTTTCCTTTCCCTAAAAAATAGATTTTTGCAAGTGCTTTTTACTTCACGCACATTGATCTTTACGTGAGTATCTTCCTGTCTATTTTCAAAGCTACATTTATGAATTGCCAGAGAGTGTGAACTTTTAAATGTGTTTTATACCTGTCTTTAATGCTTCAGAGACTGTTCTCTACTTCTTATGTACGTATGAAACTCCTTTCCGAAGAAGATGTGAATGCAAGAATCTTGTAGGATTACAAGGGAAATGGGACAAGAGATGTCCAGCATTGGGGACAGAAAATCCCTGCGTTGGGATAGAGAGGTCCTACTCTGAATGAACACAACTGGTCTTCCATTTGTATAAATGTCAGCCAACCATCCCAATAACTCCAGAAAAGTCACTGTTTTCCAGGTAATGAGCAGTCGCATTTCAGCAAGTCACTGTTTGTACTTCTATTATAAACAACATGTCTGATTAACGAGATAAAGAAATTACTTACTTTGTAGCCTAGCACCTCTGATTCATTCTCCATTGTTTTCACGTGTTCCCAGTTCAAGCAGATTTTGGAATTTGTCAGCTTCCAGGCGATGTTTGCCGGGGGTTGACTTGGTGCTTTAAAAAAAAAATGACGATAATCGCAAGATACAACTGAATATTAATTTGCATAGCGTAATTGAATGAGCCGCTGACATGGAAGTAGCAAATGCATGGGTGATTCAAATCTAAAAGAGTAAAAAATATTTTCCAGTCCATCATTTCTCTCGTATTAGTCAGAATAAAGATCTATTCATAGCACAAAACCACTTACTGTGAGAGTTCATTTTCAAAATTAGGAAAAGCCTGACAGTGTCTGTCAGTTCAAGTTATATTTGATAGATTTTGTTTAAGTACTGTGTTGTTCCTATCTGTGTTTTAATGTACTAGAGAATGTTTTGCTGTATGGATTTCAGAAAAAGCTAAAACTAAGAGCAAAGTACAAAAGACAAGGTTTTCATCAGCCATGAGGACAGGTTACAAAGAGCTACACATTAAAGTCTCCATGTGATCCATCATGAACCACTGTAGGATTTTATAAATTCTCAGCACAATAGGCTGAGAGTAGCTTTTCAAAGGCTTTTTATGCCTAAGTGCCAGGACTTTGAAAATTTGCCTACAAGTGACTGAAATCGAATCCTGTGTGAACATGTGAAGTTGAAGCTGTGCCTTTGAACTGCATCTCAGATTTAGAGCAACACATCACCACCTCCTCCATGGTGTGTCCTCCTGGACCCTACCTGGGAGGACGGCACTGGGGCTGTTAGAGGAAATAAGGACTTGAACAGAATTAAGAAAAAGGAGAAGAGATTTGGAGAAACACGGTACGAGTATCCCAGACCTGACTTTAAAATGCTTCACTTCTGGGATCCTTCTTTTCTCCCTACAGCTCCTATATATTGCTGATCAACGTATGTAACTTGGAAGGTACCATTGATTTGGTAATACTCCACAATTTCTTTCATTTCCCATGGAGATGGAATAAATTGATGGTGCTTAGTCACTGCAATAATGGCATGCACAGAACATTGTAGGAATCCTGGACAATGAGTAGGAAGACAGAGCTATTACCTTGAAGCTAAAGCTCCCACTGTAGATGTACATTGTTTATACTCTCTTGACATATTATCTCTACTCATATTGAGAGTGCTTGCATCTTTCAGAGACCAGAGCTTAAAATTTTAATATATGTTTTTAAATATTAAAAGGGTTATTTTTACTTTAATTTTTAAATGAACCATTAGCACAACCCTGGATTTGACAGAAGATGAAGTCAATGTAAAACAAAAGCAAATTTATTCCTTATATGTCTTGTCACTTCACTGTCATGTCTTTAACTTGTCATGCATATGCAGATACAAATATAGAGAATAATTTCCAGACATGAGCCTATTTTCTGTTAAGAAATTGCCTGTGAGAAGAGTTCTGTCTGAGTCCTTAAAAAAATACCTTCTGTGGCTTTATTTTGGTTTATGTTATTTACATTAAATGGCAACTTTTACCACAAACTCATTTTACAAGTTGGTTCCTGTCTTGCATTTAAGTAATAGTATGGAAAAGCACATAAACAAGAGGAGAATTGGTGAAAGACAGGAGAAATATTTCCCTTTTTGTGCGAAAGGGCTCATCAGTTGTTTACTGGGAAAACATAGTCCAAGGAAAGTATAAAAAAACTGGAATGCTTAAACAGTAATGACTTCGGGGCACGTGGGTACATAACAGATTACCAAGATTTTCTTCTTTATGACTACTAGTGAACATCTACTTCACGGGTTCAGTCCTGCAGAATGGTGCTCAGTGATTCCTTATTACCTTGGAGGATGGGCCTGTGAAAGCATTGGTTTCATGAGGCTGCTTCTCACAAACAGAATAGTGTATGGTTTTGCCTCTACAATGGCAGAAAATTTAAAAAATTAATGACTAAATAGTATTTCTATGAATGTATCCCGTATGTTACCCTCAGTGGTGCACAGTTTAAAGGTCTCAAACAAGCACTGTGTTTGGAGCATTTCACATTTTTCTTCAAAAAAAAAAAAAAAACGTATTCCCACACCCAAATCTATTGTTGGACCTGTGAACATCTTTCCTTTATTGACTCTGCTTCTCTTCTGAAATCTCCTGAAAGCAAGTGGCACGCTATTGCAACGCAAAAGGAAATCCTTCCTAAAAGTTGCTACTCTGTAGGAACACAAGCACCGGTGTTACCTCATTTTGTAGGTGTACAGAAATACTTTAGCGTATAAATAGAGTAAGGTAAATGAAATAGCCTTCCCAGGTCTGATTTAAGTTGATGAGAATTTTGGCTTCCACTGAGAGAGAACTGAAGCCCAAGGTAAATATTATATCAATGTCTTGAACACCAGAGTCTGAATAAACTTGATGGTGACCCCAAAAATATTGTCAGGGAAGAGATAGAGAAGTTTCTTAGTCACAGATTTTGTTGCTTAATTTTATGAAGAAATTTGGGATCCACTTTTCTTTGCTATTGCAGCATTTATCAGACATGGGTCACGGTAAGCTGAAATGTCACTATCACACTTGGGAGTTTGCAACATTTGTTGTATGACATTGAATACCCACGTGATTTTTTAGTGGTGACATTTACTGGAGTGCTAGAAGGCCCCATCCCTGCCGTGTTGTAAGCTCGAACTGTTGCAAAATACACTGTGTTAGCTTTTAGTCCTGTGATATTTTTGGCTGTTACGTTCCCATTGACTCTGACTTTACCAGCTGTGCTTTCCTTGGGATCATCAGTCCAATATAAAACCTGAAAAGCAAGAACAAAGAACAGGCAATTCATTGTTTTCCATCAATTACAGATTTGGCTGGGTAGCAGACAAGCTGACAATGAAGATTTCAAGGAATACAGGATTTTTTTGTATTCAAAACTAGCAGGAAATAAAAGCGACCATGAATATTTATAGGGAAGAAATAAAATTTCAGAGACTGAATGCCAATTAAGGATGTAAATGAAATCCTTAACTTTATAGATGTCCAAAATGAAACCTTTGATAAGGTGAGAAATTTTAAAAGCTTGTTTGGTTTTATGGTTTGAATACATTTAAGAAAACTTTAAAAGATACGACGAAACATCTATGTTGGTCATCTAAGAGGTTTTTTAATTATTATGTATCCTGCCTCTAGTTTTGATTCAGTGACAGCTATTTAGACCTAGGGCTTTTTTTTTCAGTGACTAATTGATTTGGGAAGGTTTGTGTGCTGTACATGATTCCTGTTACCTTCATTAATACATTTGTAATGATAGGACAGAATTTAAAGTATTTCTGACTTGCTTTACTCTTGGTTTATCTTATCTAACAAAAAAAAAAAAAAAAAATTGTTTCACTGTGCAAGTAAAATGCCCAGGAATCATATCTGAGGTTACTTTGAAGTTCCCCGGTTATTAATATAAAAATCTGCTCCCCTCCCATCGCTGGAGGGACCTCTGCTCTGTCCTGTGGATGCCAGATGCAGCTGACATGGGGTTTCTGCTCCCACCGGGTGCAGCACCGCTGGCTGAGTGCCGCCGGGGTCGGGCAGCATCCACGCGTCCTTGCAGCTCTCCCGGCTCAGACCCTGAAATGTCTGGCCCTGGATCCAGCCCTGGACTTGATGCCGTGACACCAGCCACACACCCCAGTGCACAGGGCAAAAAAAACCTGTCAGTTATTGGTAAATGAGCAGGTGCTCACTGCGAATGGGAGCGAGAAGCCAAAAGCCTTTGAAATATGCCGCAGAACAAGCTTTGGGTAGCAATGAAGTGCATTTTTCCTGGGTTTTTTTCTGTAAGCAATGCTATGGGTCATGTGCATGCCCTCAAACTATCAAGCACCCCATCGGGCTCAGGCAGCATTTCAGCTGTGTAAGAAGAGGAGGATCAGCTTGTTTTGTGGAGTCAAGCACGAGTCCTTTTATAGTAGCCACCACAAATGATTAATCTCGAGGTTTTAATTTACATTACAAAAAGTCTGAGACAGAGCTGCAGCCCTGGTCTGTAAATGCTTGTGATTATCTCAGGTGAAATGTTGCTAATGAGAGTTGGGTGAAGAGCTCCATTGTCTGTTAACTTGGAAGCAAAGGAGGAGGAACCAGAATAGAAATGTGGCTGGGAAAGGGACATCTCTAAGGTGTCAGACACCAGCACCAGCCGCCTCACCTCGTAGCCCAGCACCCTGCCCGTGTGCCTGTTCCATGCGATGGGCTGCCAGGAGACCTCCACCTCCGCCGCCGAAACGCTCAGCGCGGAAGCCCCCGCCGGTGCTATCTGTGGCTCTGGGTGATGGGAAAAAACACAGCTGGTGGAACATTTGTCTTACCAACAGCATGTTATGTCAAATCTAAGGGAGATTTAAGAACAGAGGAAGAGATTCTGGGGGGAAGTAGCAGGCAAAGGCTCAGCAACCTGGTGTGAATCCCTAGCTTTGCTGCCCGTTTATTCTGGAAGAGCAGCAAACCCATAATTTTTCAAAATTCATCATTGCCCCTAAGCTGGGGCAGATTTTCAGAGGAGATCAGCTCCAGTGAGTGGTCTGAAAAGCCAGACCCTCTGAGAGCTACACTTCTGAATGTCTTCTGATTTTCCCAGCCCACTCAGTGGGAGCTCCTTGGGAATAAAGAAGTTGAAACGCGCTGCCTGCTTAAAGCAATTCTGAAAATCTGTCCCTTGCTTTTGTTTACTTTGATTTCCCACTTTCTGCCTCGTGTCTCTTGTCAATCTTCAATGAGCAGCTTTGAGCAGGCTCCTTAATATCCCTGTGGAGATCTGTCTGATCATATCCAGGATGTATTGCTGCTACACAACCATTAATAATAAGAGTAACATGTGTTACCGTCTTCTCCTGAGTAGACAATGGATACGGAGCTCAGGGTCCCTTCTCCTTCGTTGTTGTAGACACCAACTTTCACTTCAAAAGGAGAGAGAGGTGTAATGCTTTCATTCCTATAAACATATTTGTTTGCTTCTACTGAAGCCACCACTGCTTTTGTCCAGGTTGTTGAGCCAAGAGGACGAAACATAATGATGTAGCCAAAA